GCTCGGATAACCGCAACCGCACCAAGAATCATCAAAACAACCGTTAACGTGATCAAAAGCGCGAGTGCTAACCTGAGGTTTCTTGTACGTGAAGAATCATTACCATCCGCAAGTCCATTTCCGTTTCCATAGGAGAGAAAGCAAGAATCTTGAGCTGAAGAAGAACAGAGTCTTTTGTTTCCTTCGAGATCTTGAGGAGGTAATTGTCTGAAAAGCTTGTTGTCCGGAAGATAACCAGAGAAGCTGTTGTAAGAGATGTTAAGAGAGACTAGATTCTCGATATTGGCGAGTGGAGCAAGATCTCCTTCGAGCATGTTGTGTGAGAGATCAAGAATCGAGAGCTTGTTGAGAGACGAAATCCTCTGAGGAATCTTCCCCGTGAGTCTATTACTACTCAGGTTCAACGCGATTTCAAGATTCTCGATATCTCCAAGCACTGAAGGAATCTCACCAGAGAGCTCGTTGCTTCCAAGATCAAGAAGCTGAAGCCCTGAACACATACCTAGAGAAGTAGGTATCGAACCCGAGAGCAGATTCTTGCTCAAGATCAGCTTGTTCAGTGACACAAGCCTTCCCAAACTCGCCGGAATCTTGCCTGAAAACCGGTTACCCGAAACATCAAGAACCTGTAAACCGGATAGAGAAGAAACCGGATTAGGCAATGAGCCTTCAAGAGAGTTGTTACTAAGATCAATCATCTGTAACTCAGAGCAGCTTCCGATCTCATCAGGAACCTTCCCATGTAGCCTATTGCTCGAAAAATCAAGAAAGTTTAGCTTTTTGAGTGATCCGATACCCGAAGGTATCTCTCCTGTGATCCTGTTGTAACCTAGCCTCAATCTCACCAAAGAGGTGCAGTTACCAATCTCTTGTGGTATAAAACCGGATAGAGAGTTTGAGATCAAGAGGAGCTTCGTGAGGTTCCTCAGCATAAACAAACCGGAAGGGATTGTACCGGTTAACGAATTACGAGACAAATCCAACGCTTGGAGATCGGTACAGTCTGATAAACCGGGAGGAATGCTTCCTTCTAGCTGATTAGACCAAGCGAAGAACAGAGTGAGCTTTGTGAGTGTACCAATCTCCGACGGTATCAAACCAGAGATCTGATTCTTGTCGAGCTGTAACTGAACAAGACTCGAGCAATTCGAGATCGCCGTTGGTATCGAACCGGAGATTTTGTTGTCGCTGATCATAAACTCTTCAAGAAAAGACAAACGGCCGATGGAGATTGGGATCGAACCAGAGAGAAGATTCAGAGACAAATCAATCATCTTGAGGTTGCTGCAGTTTCCGATTTCTTCAGGGATACCGCCAACGAGACTGTTCTGCCATAGAAACAGCTGTTCGAGTTTATTAAGCTTTCCGATTTCCTTAGGGATCGAACCAGACAAGCTATTCTCGTACAAGAAGATATCCACAAGCTCAGAGCAATTCCCTAAATCCGAAGGAATCTCTCCGCTTATCATTGTGGTGTAAATCGAGAGTGTTTGTAGCTTCTTGAGGTTACCTAAAGAGGACGGTAGATTACCGGAGACGCTCGTTTCGGCTAAACCAAGAACTGTAAGGTTGGAACAATCTCCGATCCCCGGTGGGATTTTGCCGGAGATTTCTTTGTTTCCTCCGATTCTTATCACTTCGAGACCAGAGAGCTTCCCTAGCTCCGGCGGGATACTTCCGGTGAGAAGATTATCGAAGAGGATTAGGTTCTTGAGTCTTGAACACTTGCTGATATCAGGTGGGATTTTTCCGGTGAGCTGGTTAGAGTTGAGGATTAGGGCTTCTAGGTTACGAAGCTTGCTTAAACTCCAAGGAATCTCACCCACTAGACTGTTAGCGCTAAGGTCGAGAACCGTGAGACCGAGGCAGTCTCCGAGACTCTCCGGTAAAGTTCCGGTGATATTAGCGCCGGAGATGGTGAGTTTTTGAAGAGAACGAAACTCCGGGAGATTATTCGGCAAGGAGAGCTCGATTTGAACAGACTGAATATCGATTTCGGTGACGAAACCTTGAGGAGAACATGTAATAAAGGTCCAGTTTTTGCAAGGAGTGTTGTCGATGGAGTTCCAGTTGAATAGAGAGAGAGATAAAGGTGTAGTAGGAGAAGAAGAGTGGAGCCATGAGTAGAGGATAGAAGCTTCCGTGTTTTGCTCTGCATCAGAGAGAGAGAAACAGAGGATGAAGAAGAAGAAAGAAAAGAGAAATGAAGAAGAAGAAGAGATTAGGGAATGAAGAGACATTTGCCTCAAAATCCGAAAAAAAGTTTAAAATCTCGGGCTTAGAGTCCCATTTAGGGTTTGGTGCCTCTTCTCTCTCAATCTCTGTGCTCTCTCTCTCTCTCTCGAAATCTGTTTCTTGCTTGATTTAAACTCAAGCTTAGGAAGAGAACACAGAGGGTTTAAGTTCTTCTAATACTTGTATTCGTTTTATTTTTGTGTCTTTGTTTATTAGGAAAATGATGGTGTAGCGATTTAAGAGGGGAGATAGAGTACAAAGGAAAATAGGGAAACACAATGCCTTGAGATCAACAAAACTGCACCACCCCACCTCTTTGCCACCTCACCTATTATACTATCTATGCTCTACTATTTTAATACTATTTTCATATTTTAAATACAAAACTCTTCATTTTTTGTATACAAAACTCTTCATTTTTTTGTATCACTCATTATACAGTTTTTTTGTTACTACACCCCCCAAATTTGATTTGTTATATTTATGCGTTTGAGATAATTAGATGAAGTTTATTTTTCTCTAACAAATTTCAGTGGACGAGTGCGTTTGCTCAAACCCCAAGTAAGTGGTTGAATCGGCATTTTATTCCTTTCGTTTTTACTTGAGTATATTTGTAGTACTACAATAGTGTAGCTTACTGTTACTTTCTACAATTGTAATCTTATTGAGTGTTGACTGCAAGTAAAATAATTTTAGAATATAAAACTTCGAACAGATGTAATCTCAAGAGAAAAAGGTTACTCTAGAAATTAGATATTGAAGATAAAAGTCGTCATAATTAAGATCATCAGTAGTTACTGTACACAAGTTACAAATTTAAATCTGAGGTATAGTGTTATATATCTATTAAATATATATTATAGAATATTGTTCATTATTGTTTAGATAGAAGAGACTATCAGGTCACTCCGAGGCCAGAAAAAAAAACAGACTATAACGTCACTCTATATTACGCACACGACACACGGAAAATCAAGATTAGGTAATGACGTAATGTTTGAGTTTTAATTTTGTTCTTAATTGTTCATCGTGTGTTCACAATAAACATCACAATCCTAGACTTGACACTTTGCTAGATCCAATGTTTTTTTTCCATTTCTAACTAAAAGTAATTGGTTATTTGTATAAGGGCATTATAAGTGATCCTGAATACTATACGTCTACATATACAAATGAGAAATAAAACTCCTAAACTATCGTGTTAATTATGTTTTCTTTCCGTAATTCTATCATCTTACTTTATATTCATATTATAGGATGTAGACTGACTTCTTTTTACTAGCAATTTTTTTAAGCGTATAAATATAAAATAGTATTGACCAAAAAGGTAGGCAAAAGGAAAGCTAGATAACGTACCAAAAGAAGATTATAATAAGATAGATGAAATGTATATAAATATACAGACACCAAAATGAAAAGGATATATACAAATCACATCAAGAGAATAGTTACATTAACTTATTCAAGAAATTAAGAGTGAATGAGGCATCATTTTGCAAGATTAATAATTAAGGACTTTTTGTATTAGCATCATTTCTCATTTTTAAAAGGAAATGGGATTAGCATCTGTAATTACTCGATTAACAATATGACTTGTGGCTTAATAAAAGAATCAAAAGAATAGCAAAGGATGGGTGGGTTTAGGTTTAGTGTGATGTGTGAAGATGAACAAAACAAAAATCCCTGATTTTGAGGATGTCTCACGTGACCACAACGAGCCTTACTCATTCTCACCTACCCTAATTCCTCCCTCTAATTATTATTACTTTGATTTTACTTTTAATCTTTTTTAAATCCTATATTAGCTCACTTATATTTTACTCTTTTCTTCCTCTTATATTAGCGTAAGAATAATCTCATGCCAAATTATGTCTGACGACTACTTTATTACACCCGATTAACATTTCTTTCATTCTATATATTATTTATTTCTCAAAACTACTGGTCACATAACATTTTCTGTCCTATTTTGTTAATAGTTTAGCTATACTTGTATATATATATCTAGTTTTCAAAAAAATATGTAAGTGTATATGCATTGCGGAGTGTGAACTGTTCTTTAGCGTAGAGGGGTAAATATATGTTTTATTAAACGGCACATGACAGACATTTAAGTCTTTTATCTATCAGTATATACTTTTAAAAAGATTAAAATAATTAGGAGGAGTGCATAAATAATCAGCGCACCATGAGCCATTATTACAGGTAAACAAAGAAAATAAAGGAGAGAAAGACAGTAATGGGCGAAGAAGAAGGAAAGGAGAAAAAAGGGACTAAACGGCGCAGTTTTAGAAATAAAGAAATAAGAAGTGGGTGCCTTGTTTCAAGGGTCTTTGCCTCGAGAGACTCTTCCTGTGGAATCTCTCCATGTTTTTGTTTATTTTCCCAAAATGTTCTTTTCTTTTTAACGTTACCACTTACTCACTCAATTTAAATTGAGTTGAATAAAGTAATTGCAGATTATACTTAACTTTCTGTTTAAGATTATATAAACTGTTTTAGCTATTTGAAAACGACACGTACTGATTAACTTTTATGGGAATCAATCAAATTTTGGATTCAAATGCGTGTATTTCTTTTGTAAAAGAAGATAAGATGTTGATTACTCTCATGGATCTTAAGTTCAGTCCACACCAGGTTAAGAGTTAGTGTTGTGGGTGTAAGACCAATAATTTAGTCTTGTAAGGACATAATATAATGGGCTAATGGTAGGCCCATATTAGAAGGGGTCTAAGCCCAATAATTTGACAATTAGTCTTACGCCCTTGGTTGAAAAACAAAGACTACACTACAAACAGAAGATATTAGAACAAGAACAAAACAAATATACTATTTTTAGCATTCAACTGTCATAAAATGTATTCTTTCTACAATCACTACCTAAAAACCAAACTCAGAAGGGAGTGATCGCTTAAAATCACGACCACACAAACCCTAAAACCGTAAGAGAAAACAGTAAGAGGAATGTGTCTAATGATCAACGCTTCTTGTCCTTGCTCCTATCTTGTCAATGAGAAGCAAGCCGAGGTTTAACCAAATTTTCTACTATGGAAAAGGAAAAAAGCTTTGCACACTTGGTAAAAACGTGTGGAAGAGGTTAGGCTTTTTTTGAGAGAGGATGATATTAGTAGCAAGGTTTGCCTTCTCTGCAACCAAGTGCACCAGAAGTAGAAGTGATTGAGTCAACCATGGAGGCTGGTTTAGCAGCTAAGCTCGAGGCACGTGAATAGCTTGCTGATGCTCCTTCACCTGATGGTATGAAAAACGCTCCATTCACTAACATGTCTCCTTCTGATCTCCAATTCCACTTCTTCCACTCACTTGTCTCTGTCTTCACCCTCTTTGTCACCTGTAAGTTTCAGAATCAAAAAACCATTGGTCTCTGTTTATAATATGATATAAAGCAAAGCCACAACAACACAAACCTCCTTAGCCGAGAGGTTTTTGGGAGCAGCATATCTATTGCCTTGACTAAGTATAGTTGGGTTTGCGCTTCCTCCAATGGCATACATCTCCCAATGTGTGTAATCGTTGTTAACCACATGGAAATACCCATGCCTGCATCTGCAATATATAACCGCATTCAATCTCACCTAATCGTATCCATCTACTCAAGAGAATGTGACATTGTAGATATTTACCTTGGCATTCTCTGAATAAGTCCTTCACCAAAATGGTTATACGCAATGGTCACTTGCATCAGCTTGTCTTGTGTGTGTGAATCAGAGTGGCCTAGCAACATAACCTGTTCACGACGACAAACAAAAACCAGAGCTTTATAACAACAGAACAAAAAGCAGAAGGCTTTTTAAATTAGCTGGTTTTGATTTTAACCTCGTTGTGGTGAGTGAAATGGTTATTGGAAATGGTAATGGCAGTGGAACCCATGACGACATCAACAAGACCATCAGCACAGTTAGAGAGAGAGTTATGGTCGATCCAGATATGACTCGAAGCAAATATCGAAACAGCATCACCATCAGCCATCGTCCTCCACCCAGCGTAAGACGGTGCGCTTATCACCTTCGCGTTCCCTGTTCTCTTGCAATCGTGAATGTGAAGACCGTGAACGATGACGTTGGTTACACCCTGTATGGTTATGCAAGCGCCGTTGGCTATGTGAACGTTAGCGCCACGAGCGTCGATGGTCTTGAAACTGTTCATGAGCAGCTCTTGTTTCAGCTCTATCACCATGTCTCTTTTGAAAACGATCCACAGTGGCTCGTCCTGGATCACTGCGTAGCGTAAAGTTCCAGGCTTTGGATTCACAACGTCTTCGTCGGTCGGATCAGTGACGACGTAGAAACGCCCGTCACGACCACCAATCGCGTTACGGCCGAAGCCGATTCCACAATCAGTCAGGCGTTTACGGTTCTTGTGCCAGTTACGGTCACAACGCCAACAGTCGTCTATTGGATTGCCGTTTCCACAGGAGAAGAATCCAAGCTTCCTCCTTTTTGTCATGTTCTGTTCGCTCCTGTAAAATTCAATAGTTATCATCAAATCATATCTCACATACACGTACATTGAATCAAGAAAAAGGGACTGATACAAATGAAACAAATACAAATTTGGGAGAGAAAGAAGAAACTCACATCTGAACAAGAACAGAGACCTCACGGGCGATTAGGTCTGGATCAGCAACTGCGTGTTCATTCAACTCTGCACCTTCATTTCTGGAAAAAGCCACACAAAAGAGATGACGCAACCAAAACATAATTAATTACTATATATTTACACAAAACATATTTAATCATTATCACACGCATATTATCAACTATTTCAGAGAGATGGTGTGTCTCAGGTCTGTGTGTGTGCGCGTTGCTCAAGAACACAGGATCAGCCACGTCACAGAATCAGACTCCATTCAGAGAAAGTCGTTAAAGGAAAAAATGTAAATTTACTGAATTATCCTCAATTTTTTCGTCGTTTATGAAATATTTACTGACGTGGAATATAGTATAAAAACTTTTGAGAGGAAAAAGTAAAGACAGAGCATGTGCGAGTAGCCAATGAAAAAGCAGAACGAGACGCTTCCTATGGCAAACCGTTAACGGAAACAAACTACACAATACGGATCCGAGGCATTACTGATCTCAACCGTTGGTAAAATTCGTTAATCCAACGGTTAAGACGCGTCGGATGCTAAGGAGAGCGTATGAGTTTTTTTGTGTGTGTTACCTGATCGCCATTGTTGAACTGTTAAAGCTCTGCGAATCCTCTGTTTTCAGTTTCCTGGAAAAAAAAGTTTCCGAGAAAGAACAAGTTAGAAGAGTATCCGTAGCTTAGATCCAGCTAAAATCCCGAGTTAATTTCAAAATCCGGAAAAACGAGAGAAAAACAAAAAAAAAAAAGAAAGAGGAGAAATTATGTACGCGAAACTGTTCATAAAATTTTGAAACAGAGCATGAGAATGCTAAAAAATTTGAGGAATCATTAAAAATGCAGCTCAAATTCGGACTCGAAAACAAGAGAAAAGATATATAAGTACAGATCAGAGAAGAGAGAGAGACGGAGACCTCGATCGAGAGATTCCGTTATTCCCGAGATTCGTCGCTGTGAGGGCGATAATGAAGATGAGGAGCAACACGAAACAAGCACTGGTCAATTTCTGAGACGAAGACGACATTGCAGAAGCTTCTTTGAAAATACCGGATGAGAGAGAGAGGAGAGAGAGAGAGAGAAGAGAGCAGAAGGAGAAGAAGAAGAAGAAGCAGAGACGAGTGAGTGACAAGAGTGCACAAGCTCCAAGAAAACCGTCATCGTTATATATACGGGAAAACGGACGAAAACGTCGTCTTTGATTGACGCCGCTACTAAACAGAGTTTCACTCTGGTTAGTGGTAATTGGGTTAACCATTGGTTACTGGTTAGTTAGGGTCACAATTTTCAATTTTGCCGTCCCACGCGATAAACCTGATTTTAACGCCGTTATTTTAACCAAACTCTCGTAACAGCTGCTAACCGCCTCCATTCTCTCGGGTGTATATCGTCATTATTATTAAAAGAATAAAAGTACATAAGCAACCATTTACTGTTTTACTTTTCTTCATCCTTAACCAGTGATTAACCAGTCATTAGTTTCTTACTTTCATCAATCTCAGTTTGGTTTTTCTAATCGAATCTTTTTTTTTTTTGGACCATAGGGAAGAATAAATTATTCGAAACGATATGTATGAGGTAAAGGCCAAAGATAAAAAATTAGGGGGGGGGGGGGGGGGGGGGGGGGGGGGGGGGGGGGGGGGAAGTCTGATTTTTAACCGAATTTACTGAAAATTTTATCTTACAACAAAAAGTGGCTGGTCCACGCATGCATGACATATTATTATATACAATAAATTTTGGGTTAGTGAAAATTTTCTTCCACAAAAGCTAGAAGTCAAATACTTTTAACTTTAGAGATTCATTTCAAAACATGATGTTGCATACTTCGCGAAATAGTTAACCAACAATTCTATATATGTTGTAAGTTGTAACTAATTCATACACAAATTAAGGCATATATCCTTAACCGTCTATGACTAGAGAGAGTCACTTGAGTTTCTACTTTCTTAGAGTATCATATATATATATAGGTAGGTGTAGGTGCATTTTGAATAGTCAATGTAAAGATGAATGGATTACTAATAAAGATGTTATGCTTACTACAACAAATAAGAAGAAATGCAATTTGCATTAAGGATATGACAGGACATGGATTAGGCACTTAAAACCAAGGAATTAAGACGCATTTCCAAATAAGTTAATGCCTAACTATATCAATCAAGTTTCCTTTTTGCTTCTTAATTATTTAATTTGGGAGAATATTATATCAACCGAAAGTTTTCACTTCAAGTATAATGAAACGATATTGTCCAGTGAAGGTCACCGTAAGTTAAAATATAACAGATCGGTTAAATAGTATAACGGTTTCTTGATTTTTTTTTTCTTTTCAAATTTAGTAATTTGGATTTGATGGGTCTCTATTAAATATTGATTTTTAGTATTTGTTTTTTTTTCGTAAATTTATGTGGTTACTTCCTCATCCTCTTGGTAAACTTATATCTATCTACCGGATTTCATTAGACTCCTAAGAAAAAAGTTCACTTTCTCTTGAGTCGAAAGCTACATTCCTATCATTTATAACTTGGTACATACGCAATATATAAGCTAATCCATTTGTAAACGTTGGTCCAAATAATAAAAAATTGAGGCATTATTTGCTTTTAATTTTTGTTTAACTGTCAACAAATTTTTGGTTGAATGAGAGCGGGAAATATGTTTTACTTTCAAAATTGGGATATCAGGCCATTGTCTCCGTAATCATTTTGAAGGAAAGACTGTATATTTAGACTCGTCTAGCTAAATTGATAATAAGGACCATATGTAATGGTGAGATATCACAAACCACAAAAAGAAAACAAAATGTTTTCAAAATATATATACACTGTCCTAAAGCCACAAAAAGAGTATATGTCAGATTACGTCGGTTAGATCAATAGTACTGATTATGTTCTATAAAGAATGGAATCAAGAACGGGTGGTAGATTTTCAGGCGGGAAATCAAAGCCAAAGAACACACAAATATTTTGACCAGTCATGTAAAAATGTCAAAGCTTACGTACAAATCTTAGATGATTCTCCGTATATAACAAAGAATAAAAGATATGGACCTATCTTCTTTTCTATCTTTGGATTCTCTTGCGATCTCGTATTGACCAATCTTTTTTTTTTGTGGGTTTTCTTTTTATCATTCTATCTCACACTTGATAGAACAGTTGAATGGTATAGGTATTTGTGTCTTTAATCGGATTTATAAAAAAACGTTCGGAACTTAGAGTAAAGTTCTACAGCTCTGGTAAAGTAAAAGCGTGACCAAAGTATACATATAACACTTATCCAGTTCATGTTAGTGGCCCAAGAGTTTCTCTGTTTGATAACTTGTATAGAGGCCCAACAAATATTATTCTGATAAAAAAGTTGGCAATATGAAATCAATCGATTTGTCTGATATCGCTTATAATAATGCTTTTACTAATTTTTATTGTGATAAAGTTGTCATGTTTAGTTTTGTTTGTTTTTTGAAAGTTTGTAACCGTTTAACTTAAATTTACATCTTAATTACATGGTGGGCAAATATAGTTGTTAATTATTAAGCTGCCATTTCAATATCATGGCCGACATGAAAATTTTACTGTTCGTCGAAAGTATTATTTTCTTATAATTTTGAGTGTAAAATTAGTAAAAGTTCAACATAAAAACAATATATAAACATTGAGCCCAAAAAATTGGCGACAAGGTGTGATTAGCCGATACACCGTTTAGACGCAATGCGACTTGTCCAATAGTATGATAAGTGCCTTAGGTTTTAGCATATAATCCACAAAGCCCTTAAGAGTCTAAAACTAACAAGTGCACCTTGGACTTGGCCCTCCTAATTCATAAAAGGAGATTGGACTTGGCCCTCCTAATTCATTAAAGGAGACTAGACTTAGTACATCAATTAGTTTATATTTTGTGATTTGGATACTGTCCTAATTGTTTTATAAGTATTATATATAGTACTAGGTGGTTGGTCTGCACATATGTGCAGGTATAATTTTTTTGATATACACAGTTAATTGTAATAAGTATTGATTAGTTTTTTTGAAACATTTGTATGTTTGGATATATATATATATTGTTTTAATATTTGATAAAGTTTTTTCTGAAACCAATGTATTTTAAAACTTTTAATTTTTATAATGCTTGTAATAATATATAATCACAAATATAAAGTTATATTAAATAATAATTAAAATTTATAATATTTTTTGAATATTTCTATAATATGCTTTATTTCTCCTTACACAATCTACAATATGTTTTTTTGCATCTTACATAATATGAATTTGCGAATACATATATAATATATTATAAGTATATATTTTTCTTGATTTATTGCAAATTAAACTGAAATAGTTTTTCTCATTTTTACTTATTTCTAAGAGCGGATAGATGGTTGGCACGCATGCTGCGGGCATACCAACCACTTCACTACACTTAGAATAGATAAAGATTTTTTTTAAAAAAATAAGTTGTATAGTAATGAAAATAAAAATTAGACTGTAATCAAGCTTAACAAAATACATGTACGAAAAATTTCGCATGTGACTTTAACTAATGCACAATTAATATTTATGTTTGAACATATATTTGTAAAATAGTCAAAATATAGCTCTTACATGTTGAAACATTTTTAAGTGATTTTGTAAAACAAAGTGCGAGAGATTTATTTTTATAGACTTCTATTTTTATTTTTTATTCATATTTATTTCATCCTTTTTAATTAATTCTTTCATTTGGTTATTTTTCATTTAATTTATGATCTCAAAGTTTTGATATACAATGAAAATAAATTAATGTATATATATGTGAATATGATATAAAATTTTATTTTTATTTAAAATATGATAAAAGATAAGATGAGATGGTAAAATAAGTTATGTACATTTTAGAAAAAAACAATAAAAAATGATAAAAATTATAGAAAAATATATGATCCTATTAATATTATAAAATAATATTTTGTATATACTTTATTCATTTAGTAAATATTGCTTTGAAAATATAAATTATTTTAAATTATGTTTTTCTTTTAAATTTCAATAAAAGTTAATTATTTTTTTATTATTTTTAACTATTTATTCTTTAAATTATTTTTATCATGATTATCTTTTATTTAATTTTTATTATTTAATAATTTGTTTATTTAAATTTTTAGGTGTTATTATTATATTTTGTAGATTAATAACTTTCCGAAATAAAAATATATCATTGTCCGAGTGAGAAATATATTATTATATTTTGTAGCTTAAAAACTGTCCTAATTTTTTTATAAGTATTATATATAGTATTAGATTACACTGTCCGAGTGAGAAAATATTTGTCCCTTAATTAAACTAGAAGTCGAAATCTTTGTTTTTAAAACTATTTTATTATCGACATTAAAAAATGAACAAATGAGTTATATTTGAAATTATGAAAATTAAAGGTTTAGCTGTTTGCAATCTAATTTATACAATGAATTAAGACGTGGTCGAATCTAGAGAGAGAAATCATATAAAGGATTAAAATCAGATAGGACTCCCATGATTAAACTGAGTAGATAAAATTTTCAAGAACGAAAATACATTAGGGTTTCTTACACAAGGAGTTCAGAAGGTGAAAGATGATCTGAAGAATGTAGTTATAGACAAAACACTTGCAAGATTTCCTTAATCCAAGATTCGTAACAGAGAGAGAGGAAGGTAGACAATATGGGAGTTGGGAGACACTAAGTATTAACTATAAAGTGAGTTTCTTCTGACATATGTGAATTTAATTTCATTTTCAGAACTTCTGCCCAAAAAAAAATCCAACAGACTATACAGAACACAAACTCATAAGATTAATTGAAATATCAGTCTCCTCCTAATTTTCTATATTATCTTAGTTGATTTCACACCCATGTATATAATACATACATTCAAAATCGTATGTAATATATATGGCTCAACATGATCTTATCCTATGACTAAAATACCAACCATGCAATATACTTCATCCCTTTCATTTTATATGATGATTTTTGTTTTTTTTGTTGAATGTGCATATACAAATAAATTGTAGAGACAAATTTGAAATGGAGTTAAAATTTTACACAGAAGATAATAACACCAAAAAAGGAAAAGATTTCACTAAAACGTCTTGTAAAAATGGCGGATGGAGTATTTTAAGATCGATCTCGTATGAAGTTTGGAAAGAAAGAAACAAGTGAGACAATCACTTTCCACTTCGAAGCTGGATTTCTTATCTGTCTCCTTTACTTAGCCAACTATAGAGTATTTCTGGTTCCGTAAGGGTTTCATGCAAATGCAAATAATATCAAATGGTTCATTACACAAGAAGATAGATACTTATCACCAAAAAAAAAAAATTCAAAAAATTCAACTTAATTAGAAAATTTCGTATATAGTACCATCAGTGCATTACACAGGAAGATAGATACTTATCCCCAAAAAAAAAAAAATCAAATAATTCAACTTAATTAGAAAATTTCTTATATAGTACCATCAGTGCATTTCACAGAAGATAGATACTTATCACCAAAAAAAAAAAAATAATTAAACTTTTTTAGAAAATTTCTTATATAGTCATCAGTGCATTACACAAGAAGGGAGAAACTTATAAATAAAAAGAGAAAGATGGATACACATAAGTCAGAACACATCTTGTTCCCGAATTATCAAAGTCACCTGTTGTGAAGTGGATTTGGACCCGTGGGAATTATCCGTTTTGAGTCCAAAGCTGTAGACTTAGTGATCATTTTCGTGGAGTTGTACTTTAGAACTTGTGATTCTTCTCGGTACGATCCATTCTCCATCGGCAAACTCCGCATTGAAGCTGATTCCGAATAATGAATGAAGGCAAGAATCAGAAGAGAAGAAGCCAATATCAAACCCCTGATCTTCATTTTTCTAATTTGTTTGTTTGATGGGGATATAATATGAAGGAAAGCATAAGTTCGACTGTTATAAATAGCGACGTTTGATAAAAGGAGCAAAAAGAATTAGAGTAGATATAATTTATATACAGATACGGTGCATAGAAATATAAATAAATCCAATGAAGGCATGTATGTAACTAATTGAAATAATATTTTAGCTTAAAAATAATTAGGTAATTATGTTGAAATCATGTATGTTCCCTCTTTATCTCGTTTTGCTATGTAAAAACTAAAAAGCTTCTTCAATATTTTGTCTTCGATTTGAAGATTCATAAGCCTCAGCCTCATTAAAGTGAGCCTGTGGACACATTTATGGTAACAGTAAAGCGGACCAGTTATAATGAGAATACAATAAATAGTTTTATTTATGAAGAAAACCCAAACATTCTGCTACAGTGTTACTATATGCATGAGGTCTAACAAAAAACATCTACGATTTACTACGGACGACGATTTGCAACCACTTAAATATGGTACATCGTAAGGATAGGAGATAATTTTACAAATGACAAATCTATTGCAAATCGATCCACATGGTACTAAATTTCCAAAATCAGACCAACGTTTGGCCAATCCATTGAACATGCTCGTTCAGACCAGACCAGACTGTAGAACTACATGACCGGTTCAGACCAGACCAGTCCGATCATATATAATATATCTAGCTAAGTGATCATGTACATTCCATAAGAACTTTCAGTATAAACGAAAAACTTGCTTTACTAAGAAAATGGATATATTCACTTTGTCCCAATCAATTTTAATTCATTGAGACTTCTCAGAAATTACAATACTATGTGAAGAAATCGGAGAAACCCTTAAAACAAAGCACATGAAATGTGTAATCATTTTTGAAGTGTGGCTTTAAAAGGAGTGAAAAGGTGAAAAATGGAACCCATGCTTGCTTGATTTCTCCTGCTAGTACTACTACTACTAGCAACTTTCAATATCAATCAAACGCATTTATATTTTTCCCAAAAAAGGATTCTCCTCATTTTCTAACATCACACCATCCCTCTTTTCTTTCAATTTCTCGACTTTCCAATATTTTATTCTTGAAACTAAGCAATCAAATATCATATCTCACAAGTTTATTTTCATCATCTAATGAATTTCAATAAATAAAAAACACACCACATGAGAGTGTAAATGCAGCATGGTAAATAAAATGTCAAAATATCTAAAATATGTGTTAAACTTTTGAATTAGTCGGCCAACTAAAATCACTGTCAATATCAATCAAAATCATTGTCAATACCAATCTTAGTTAATTAAATGAATGGACTTCCCTTACCAACCCACACTCACAGTCTCACGAATAGATAGTCGTACGTACTCGTTTAAGGTACAAAAACTTGCAAAAAATGTTAAGAATAGAGAGACCGCTATCTAAAGAATTCACACTCTAATCTCTTACTCTCAAGTCCTAATAATTTTTTATCAATTGTTTCCCTATATTCGAGAGTCATTACTAATGAAAACCTAGAATTAGGTATTCATATCTCAATTATTTGATTTATTTCTTCTTCACGTCAACGGTCAACAAATAGAGTTTTATCCTCATTATTTCAATAATTTTCTTGGTAGTTTATCTCGCCGTTTGTCTACTATCATAAATTTAACTGAATCTAATTTTGAAGTCGAATTATTTCTGAAGAATTGACTAAACTAGTGTGGAAGCACATGTGAGGCAGATGATAAAAGAGACAAGAGTTAATTTTTATCGAAGCAAATTCTACCTAGACTAAGGGCTATACAACCAAAAGCTGACAAATACAGTTAGGCAGTAAAAACATTATTGTTAGATTTTGTGCAAACTATAAATGGTTTGTTGCATTTTGCATGTGCAATGTATATATTCATTAGAGCATTTCATAGCATGTGGCTAGGTGACAATTGTACAGTGTTTTAAGTTTACTAACTTGTAACGTTAAAAATGGCTAGATCCATCTTTTCCTTCTGGAACAAGGAACTAAATAAGGCGTGCCAAATAATTTAGCTCATAATCATTAGAGATTATTTAGATAAGTGAGAAAATAAGATACAAAATACAAGTTTTACACAAACTTGAAAAATGTCTAGATTTCTCTTTTTCCTTTTGGAACAAGGGATTAAATAAGTCATGTCAAATCATCAAGCTCATAATTATTTAGATAAGATACATGATAAGTTCAATTTACACAAACTTACTCTAGATTATAGATGTTTCTTCACAACCTATATAGGTTTGAATGGTTGATCCATTTAGAAATCTTCACAAGTAATCATCATCACTTTTTTTTTTTTATGTATTTAACTTTTTAACGTTAAACTACATATATTGAAATAAAAGCGTTTTTGTACATCAACCATATGTTGAAGATTCTTTATCCCACCAATGATGTCCAAAGACCTAAGCGACCATATCAGCTTCCTGTGAATCAGGAACGATGATGTCAAACCTCATCATTGCCTTGTAGCATTGAGGAACACGAGCTCCACTACGCATACAAATCTCAACCAAAGCAGGGGCTTTACCATAAAAACCTCTTGAGACTTCCACTAGGCGGATGCTCCTTAAGGTCTCTCACATGCCACACATAGTTCGGAGGAAAGATCTCGTCCACAAGAGCATCTTGCCATCCATGCTTTCCGTCTCTCCACTGGTGTTTGAACTCCCCGCACAGCTTCACACTGTGTCCCCATGGTCCCGCATGCACCTCAGAGCAATACCCACACGCTTTCACCGTGTATTCCCTCATCAGTGACACACTTGGTGCTTAGAAAGATGAGATCAATCTTTTATATGCACATATATTAGTTCCCTATATATTACTTTGAAAACATTTTTAGAGAGTAAACTTAATTTTATAAGTGATTTATAATGATGTTATTTTGCTGATGTATCATCACCAGAATCATTCTCAGCAAATATATAAAAATAGATTTATATTACTAGATTAATTACATGGGCTACCACTCACATTAATTTGGCTGTGAAATAGTTTATATAAATTATTTATATATAAATCAGCATTTCATTTATTAATGTATTTTTAATTTATTACCAAAAATATATCATATTAATTATATTTTTTGCCAAAAATATTTTTTCTCTTATTTTATTTAAACTTATTTTGTAAAATAAATAAATTATTACATCATCCATAGAGTAAAAGTAATTGTGCTATAGTTTGAATTTTTAAAAATGAATATAAGTTGCTCAAATTATAAATAAATAAAAGTAGGTTTTAAAAGTTTTACATTAGAAATGAGGATATGTAGAACAATAGATGATTAATAAATCATTACAAAAAAACATAAATGCTAAAAAATAGTTGTAAAAAATAAGAAGCTTAATTTAATTTATATTTATATTAATGTATGTTTGGTTAAATATGGTTTTCAATAGATTATATAAATTAACCAAATAATATAAATATTTAAATTGGATAAAAAGTTTAAAATAGTATATCAAAAAGTCAAAATATAAGAAATAGTTAAATATGTTAAAAGAATATAATATTATGAATATTTTAATTTTGTTAAGAAAGTGAAATATTATGAAATTTTTAATTTATACAAACGAAATAACTTAGTTAAAAAGTTAAATTGTTTTTGTTAAATTTTTACTGGATCAAAAAGTTAATATTTTATAGATATTGACTCAGTTATATATAATTTTAGATAACCTATTAACAATATTAAACTTTAAAAATATTTAAACTATTTTTATATAATTCCTATGTGTATATAGTATTTAAAAATAAAATTTATAATAGTTTTCTTTTTTAAAAAATTGATATTTTTATGACTGGTCTTTAAGAGTTAATCTAACTATACAATTATATTGTATAAAAGAATATTAAAATCTGTTATAATATCATATAATTAATATTTTTTATAGATGCTAGTTATAATAAATTTTATATATCACATCATTTTCTATATAATCAATAAAAATAAAAACCTATCAAAACTCTAAAATTATTTTCTATATAATCAATAAAAATAAAAACCTATCAAAACTCTAAACATATTCATTACATCTTAAATTTAATATTTTATTTTATTATGTATATACTATATTTCCAACTTACAATTTATCATTTATTCAATTATTCACATGTAAAATGAAATCAAATTTATTGCGTATGAAAACTTTGACAAAAAAGTACCGATAGTTTACTGACATCAATATTATGATATGTGTTTGAAAATTATGGTGTGTTGACATATTAGAATTCCACAAAATCATGCCATCTAGATATGTTAACCAGAAAGCGAATGAACAAATTAAAAAAAAATCATTAGCAAAATATCTTATGAAAATAGAAAAATTTCACACAAAGAAGAGAATGAAAAATACAAAGAAACAATCATATGGAGAAAAAAAAGCTACTAAATTATGTTTTCTACAAAACAGAAGCTTATAGCAGATACCCCCACCCCTCCTCATTTCTTGAGCTGCAACATCCCGCACTCTTTGTTACGAAATCTATTACTATCACCGCATTCCCAATAGGTCTTTTTAGTTCTAAGGTCAAAACTCCGCCCAGTTAACCGTCAGGATATATCTGATAAAATGTTAACTTGTATTCCAAAGCGTTGGAAGATAGAACACACTAGAAAAACATTGTTTTTCAATAACAAAAATTATTAAAAACTCTAGTAAAAGGAATAATATCTGAAAAATAATGAAAACTAAAACTTACTGTAAGATCTGGATATATCCTCTAAAGAAAATATAAAGATTTGTGGGAGAAAAGATAAAGTTGTTTTTATTATTAGCCGGAGTTCGAAGTGTACAAGGGGTTTTAGGTCGTCGGAAAAGAATGCCGACCTAAGTTTAGTGAGTAAATAACCGAGATCTAAAACTGGAAGCAGTAAGCTATTAATTGCCCTAGGTCTCAAGTCCGAAGTTGTGAATGAATCATCTTCGAGGGAGGAGGCTCTTCTTATATAGCCTCCGTAGACCGCCTTGAGAATAATCCTTCTCCTTCGGGATTAGGATAGTTTTCTTTCTTCTCGGGATCTTCTTTCCTTTTCTTCTGCGATACGAATATACCTTCGGATATTTCCATATTTGGGCACCGACCTAAACTCAGAAGTGGAAGTAGGGCTTCAAATGGGTCTTGTCTCAATTTATGAAGGGCTTTCAGCAAAGGGTGCTAAACCCATCACTAACACTTACCTTAAAGTCTCTAGAATAATAACTTGGATAAATATTAATTTGGATTGCAAATAACCCATTGTCCAAGAGCCTCTCCAACAAGCACTCATGATCATAAGTCGCGTGGAAGCAATATAATGCCTAGACAAGGCTAGGCTCCATCAATTGTTTGTAAAAAAAAGGTATTATTAGATTTAATCTATTTAAATCTTTATTACTAGTTAATTTTTTTTTTAAATGTGTGTGAGAATTGGGCAAATTTCAGAAATAAATCAAGCCCAAATTGTATTTCTAATCCTCACCAGATTGTTTACGACTCTAAATGGAGAAGAAAATTCACATAACCTAACTAAGAGGTTGCAAGAGAGTGATGAGATCAATCTTTTATATACATATATGGCTATGTAGAATCATACTAATATATAAGAGATTACTATGATTTGATGCAAATATATAACAGTTAGATTTTTAACTATGTAATGTATCAAAATGATGTTTATCTTGGAATGTAGTTTGGTTTAAGAATTAAGAATATGATATTATAATCTAAAAGTTAAAGAGGTTAAATGTGAACCTTTCATGATTTTAAGTGGATTTTAGAAATGAGCTAGAATTGAAAGTATAGCCCATTTAATAAGGCCCAATCTAGAATTTCAGCAATCTAGAATTTAAGAAAAGTTGGGGAAAAAATGCACTTTTTCTTTTGTTCGCCTCTTCTCCATCGCAAAGTGGTTTTGATCCTTGATCAATCAGAGACGAACGCTAAGTCGACAATTCACACGCCAATCCTCTCTCGACCCACGCCGTAGATGGCTGTGCCGGAGAATCTCAATTTCACGTTGCAGCTTCTCTTTATGGCCAGCAAAACGGTGTTATGGGCTAAAGCTCCGGTATGGTATTTAACAGAAAAGAATTTCTCTTTTCATCTTCTTAAGATAAATTGGTCTCTCTCTCTATCTCTTTGGTGATTGGCTTCATCTTCAACATTTGTTTGTGGCAAACTTTAGAAAACCAGAAAGACCCCAATGACGGTGGGGATTCCAAAAGAAGCTCCTAATTGATTTTAATTATTTGATATTCTTTGCCGTTGCATGAAATATACTTCAACCATGCAATATACTTCATCCTTTTTTTTTGAATGCGCATATAAAATTAAATTGTAGAGACAGATTTGATAATAACACATCAAAAAGGAAAAGATTTCACTAAAACATCTTGTTAAAAATGACTGATAGAGTATTTTAAGATCGATCTCGTATGGAGTTCGGAAAGAAGGGAACAAGTGAGACAATCACTTTCCACTTCTTTGCCTTCGAAGCTGGATTTCTTAATTGTTTCGTTTACTACTTTACTTAGCCAACTATAGAGTATTTCTGGTTCCGGCAAGGGTTTCATGCAAAGGCAAAGAATATCAAATAGTTAAACTCAATTAGAATATTTCTTATATAGTCATCAGTGCATTAATTACACAAGAAGATAGATACATATAACCAAAAAATATCAAATAATTAAAAATAATTACAAAATTTCTTATATAGTCTTACACAAGAAGATAGATACTTATAACCAAAAAAGAAGAAGATGGATACACATAAGTCATAACACATCTTGTTCCCGAATGATCAAAGATTCAAAGTCACCTGTTGTGAAGTGGATTTGGACCCGTGGGAATTATCCGTTTTGTGTCCAAAGCTGTAGAGTTAGTGATCATTATCGTGGAGTTGTACTTTAGAACTTGTGATTCTTCTCAGTACGATCCATTCTCCATCGGCAAACTCCGCATTGAAGCTGATTCCGAATAATGAACGAAGGCAAGAATCAGGAGAGAAGAAGCCAATATCAAACCCTTTATCTTCATTTTTCTATTTTGGTCAAAAATTGTTTTTGTTTGTTTGACGGGGATATAATATGAAGGAAAGCATAAGTTCGACTGTTATAAATAGCGACGTTTTGATAAAAGGAGCAAAAAGAATGATAGTGGATATAATTTATATACGGTGCATCATACTGCATAGAAATATATATAAATCCAATGAAGGCATGTAACTGACTGAAATAATATTTTAGCTTAAAAATAATTAGGTAATTATGTTGAAATCATGTATCCCTCTTTATCTCGTTTATATATGTAACAAGGTTCTTTAATATTTTGTCTTTGATTTGAAGATTCGTAAGCCTCTCATAACCCACAAGACATAATATTAATTAGACAATAAAAAAAAAAAAAAGTTTTCATGCAACAAAAGGGGGCGTAGGAAGAGGCAGTAATAGGTGACGACCTACTGCAAATCATAAGCAAAAAATATTCATGAGTTAGTTAATTTGTTATCAGGAACAAGAATTAATATCAAGAGCAAGTTTATGTAGGCTGTAACTGGTTATATTTAAAAAGGAATTAAAGAGAATGAAAATCTGAATTGTCAGTGTAGTAATGAATTCCATTCATTTCTTTTATTCCTCTGGATTTAAAAGGTGGAATGAAATGAATAAATTTTAAAAAATCTTTGCTTTTCTTTTCCATTAAAAAATAGAATATGTGAAATGTTCTAATAAATATATTCCACAAAAAATGCATTCCAGTTGCAGCCATAATCTATCTACGGAAATCTACTTCAATTAATTTCATACAAGCATACATTTCATTCATGCAACCATCACACCCACTACGGATGCTAGTTTTGCGTCTCTTTCCAGCCAACGTCACCACAAGCTGACTTCCTTTCAAGAAACATGCATCCAATTCCAACGCCTTCTCGTAACCTTGGTCATTTTTCAGATTAATGAAAGCGAATCTGTTAAAAAAAAAAAAAAATTTCACAATCACATTTTATGTTGATCACAAAGTAGAGGAAGGAGTCACCAACCCTATGGAAAAACCGGTTTCAGAATCCATGGGAACAGAAAGCTTTGACATCACTCCACATGAACCGAACAAATCACTCAACATTTTCTTGATTTCATCCTTAGGACGCAAACGGTCGAATCCCTTGACGAAAATGGTATGTTCATTGTGACCCTCCTCTAGTGTACAATCATAACAGAGGAAATCTTTCAGTTTCGGCATTGGCTATATAGACAAAAGCACCAAAAAAAAGTAGAATTAAAGAGCGATGAAGTGTAATGTATCAAAATATTAAACCCACAAAACAAATGTATATACCTCACAAGCATAACAGGGAGGATACATCGTTGTCCGGGTTAGTTTCTCCTGTATCAAAAATTGTAATAATGTATCAAAATTCTCAAACCCAAGAAACAAATATAACAGATACAAACAAAGAAGCCAAGATTAAAAGAAAACAAAAAAACAAAGAAACATGTACCTTCAATGAAACCTCGTGTAGATATTTGGTGAATAAAATTTCTGGTAGTTGCTTTACAGCTTCAGTTAATGATTTCTTGTCATATGGAGTAAAAGCAACGATTTAGATAACCAATTTTCTTAATATACAGCTTTTAACATTAAGCTTGTATATATTATTTTCTCTTGAATTTTTTAATTTACAATATAATGAATTAGACTATTTGGTGATAAATAAGCAAAAATCAAACTGTAGGTGCTGACGTTTTTCGGGCCAATTTTGTCATCTTCATCAATTTGCTACCAAAAAAAAGAAATCCATGCAAAGAAATACAGTTATTGTAAGAAAAGACATAACCACCGGTGTGGTGGGCTAGTGGTTTAAGTGCAGGAGTTAAATCCTTGTGCTTCCTAGTTTGATTTTCGGTGGGAGGGATGCTTTATATCATGTCATAAGGTATTAGTAAAGACTGGTCTCAGGCCATGGAAGAGACTAAGGCCCAGGTCCCGAACTCCTCCTAGTTAAAAAAAAAAAAAAAAAAAAAAACATCATAACGAAGGAAAGAATAAAAACAAGTCTTACTTTCTTAGACTCGGAGGCATCGGATTTGAGTTTTGAGGCAAAAGACGAATTAACCGACGACGTTTTACAGAGTCAAAATTACTAGGTCTTGTTTTTGTGGGCTGGGCTAAGTGGGTCAACCAACAGCCCATTTTCGAATTCTTCTAAAGTCGATTGATTTATCTCAAGAAATTGACAGCTAAAAGTTCCGATTGAAACTTCTTGATGTTTCTTTTTCCGATTAGATTCGAGAGCTTCGTTTCTCTTCTCCGCCTGAGCTTAAGGTTATACTGATTTTGTTTTGCCTCTCTCTGTTTTCTTGTCTTCCTTGCACATCACATGTTCGACGAAATGACTAAACCATGTACTCGTCCTCACATATTTCCTTAAATATTGCAGGGATTGTGGAAAGTTATCGTCTTTACTTAGTTCCTGATTTGGGTTCTTACATCAAGCCACCATGCTTGTGATTTCGCCTCCCTGTAGAGGTAATTCATCCCCCTTTGAGCTTTCTTGATAATCCGCAACTGTACGCAAGTCTCTCATTCTGGATAATCTTTATTCTCTCGCCTAGGTGTTTATCCTCAGACCATAGATCCCAAGCCTGTTGATTTCTCTGCTAGAAGCTCTTATACACATTGCTTTCAGGTTCCCATTTACATCTCCTGTAACTTTGATCTTGGAGGTTGTAAAACATGCTTTAATTAGTTTAGGATTTTGCTTTTTGTTATATGCAGTTTCCTCGTGTGGTCCCTAAAAGGGAGTGTTCGATGAGGTTAGGAACCTTTGTTTGTTTCAGCAAGAAGCCTACACAGCACACAACTTTCAAGAAACGTCATGTGTTTACGCAGAACGTGGATCTTCCTCCTATTTTACCAAAGAACAAGAAAAAGCCTTATCCCGTTCCTTTCAAGCAAATCCAAGAGGAAGCTAGGAAAGATAAGAAACTTGCTCAGATGGGCATTGAGAAACGCTTGGACCCTCCCAAAAATGGTTTGCTTGTCCCCAATCTTGTTCCTGTGGCCTATGAAGTGATAGATAACTGGAAGTTGCTGATCAAGGGTTTGGCACAGCTTCTCCATGTTGTTCCTGTCTTTGCTTGCAGGTGAAACCAAACTCTCTTTTTCTCTGTGATGTCAGTTTTGTTCATTTCCAGTGAGCTTTGAGAGAGATGAAGCAAAGGCATTTTACTGTAATATAGTGTTTTTGCAGTGAATGTGCGGCGGTTCATGTGGCTAGTGCTGGTCACAATATCAAGGAATGTAGTGGTGCAACAAGTTCACAGAGACGTGGTTCTCATCTATGGGTCAAAGGCACCATCAACGATGTTCTGCTTCCTGTTGAGTCTTACCACATGTATGACCCTTTCGGGCGCCGGATAAAGCACGAAACCCGGTTTGACTATGAAAGAATCCCAGCGATTGTTGAGCTATGCGTCCAAGCTGGAGTTGAGATCCCAGAGTATCCTTGCCGCAGGAGGACACAACCGATCCGAATGATCGGGAAGAGAGTGATCGATCGAGGTGGATATGTTAAAGATCCAAACAGGCCTTGCAGTTCTACATTTTCATCTCCATTAGCCGATCTTGACACACTTGGTGCTAGTGAAAGGTATCCACCTCCCGAACCAGAGGAGATACCAAAGCTAGCGCAAGAAACAATGGACGCTTACGAGAAAGTGAGGTGGGGAGTGACGAAACTGATGAGGGAATACACGGTGAAAGCGTGTGGGTATTGCTCTGAGGTGCATGTAGGACCATGGGGACACAGTGTGAAGCTGTGCGGAGAGTTCAAACACCAGTGGAGAGACGGGAAGCATGGATGGCAAGATGCTCTTGTGGACGAGATCTTTCCTCCGAACTATGTGTGGCATGTGAGAGACCTTAAGGGAGATCCACTTAGTGGAAGTCTCAAGAGGTTTTATGGTAAAGCCCCTGCTTTGATTGAGATATGTATCCATAGTGGAGCTAGGGTTCCTCAATGCTACAAGGCGATGATGAGGCTTGACATCATCGTTCCTGATTCACAGGAAGCTGATAAGGTCGCTTAGGTCTTTGGACATGTTCTTACTAGAACATTGCTTGATAAAGAAGTTTCAACATATGCTTGATGATAGAATGATCTCGCAATCTAGGATCTTAGAGCACCTATGTACAAAAACGCTTTTATTTCAGTATATATAGTGATGTTGATGATGATTCCTTGTGAAGAATCTTAAATGGATCAATCTATTTAGATTGTGAAGAATCATTTATTTTTGTGTTTCAAGTCTGTGTGTAAAACTTATAATAATGTTATCTTATTTTCTCACTTATTTAAATAAATCTCTAATGTTTTATGAGCCTGATAATTTGACATGACTTATTTAATTCCTTGTTCCAAAAGTATCACTACATGTGGAAAGGTTGTTTGCTGAAATATAGTATCTACATTCTCATTTCACTTACTTTTAGAACTAAGATTTTTCTTTCTTTTTTACACCAAATCCATATGAATATACACTGGATTGAAAGATTACTTACTGTATATACGAAAACAGCTGCTGGAAGACTATTATCTCGGTAATTGTTTGGTATATAAACAAGAAAATTTTGTATTGTGGAAATAAACTAGCATTATAAAAGGATATTACTAGTTAAATGAGTATCAGAAGATGGGTAACTCTCAACAAATACCACAAATCCAGTATTAACATATGCATGGAAAGAATATCAACTGTAGTGGAGTTACCATACAACCATGACGAAATGTTTTTGGTTTGCAATTGAAATTAGAAGAGGAAGAACAACTCATAGGGAAGATTTTAACAGGAAACAATGTTTTATGCACTTGCAAAAACTTATAACGCTTTCAAGGGTCCAAACAAATTATCATTCTTTACCTGGAAGAGAAGATTTTCTACTGCGAGTGAAAGTATAAAAGGACAATGTAACAACGGAACTAACATATCAGGGATTCAAAAAGCATAAATTTCAAGTATAAACTTACAGAGAAGTATGACCAGGAGTAATTTGCCACTGCTTAAACTCACCCTTGAAGCCCCAAGATATGCTTCCACTTGTGCAATTACCAACAGCAATGGTAAAGCGATGGATTAAGAACACTAAACACACCATTTTTTTAAATTCTTTTTATAAAAGGCGAAATTATTTATACAACAGTTTTTTGGTTTATAGATTTTAATAATGGTTAAAAAAAAAATCAACCATGTGTTTTTATTTTTATTTATTTCTAATTGACACATTAGTACCATGAATCCTCATTGAATCTGTTTAAAAAGCTTCTTAATTGGTTTAAAAAAATATTTTATTAGCAAAGAAAACTGTTTTTATTTTCTCTACTGCCACACAAAGCTTTGATGTGAATCCTAGGGATGGGAAACATCAACATGGTGCTTCTTACCTTCAGAGAGAGTATTTTTAAAGCATGTTCAGATTCTATGGAACATGTTGAACCAGAAAATCACCACTAAGGTTTGATTAACAGTTGTGGGTTTCAGAAAATAAAGTCTTTTATTATTAGTAATAAAGCGAAGCGATTACAAAGAATGGGATAACCCGAAGGGAAAAGAAGGTTTGAGAAGTAAACTAGAAAGCGTTGGAATCTCTGGTTTTAGCTCTACTGCTCTCTAGATTGTATGAGTTGTCCTTCTTGGCTTCCAGGTCCTCTTTATTTATAGGGATGGGAGGTCGGTTGCTCCGAACTCATTTTCCTTTTTACATTTGTATATATTTCCATATCACAGATATAGAAATATCCTTTATTCTCCGAGAAGTAAGGAAATTCTCTTTTATCCTTTGGATTAATCCGATGTTTCCGGTCTTCAAAGATTATCTTTGAGGGATTTTCTTAAGTCCGAGCTAGGTCGGCACGGTCTTCTTGGTCTTGATGGGCTTAGGTTATTGCGAGAAAGGCCTTTTAGGAAATCTGCTCACTTCCACTCTAACAGCAAGTCCTCCCCCCCAACCCAGTTCGACGAGACTGATTGTAAATCAGGTCGGCAGACTTTATGAAGTTAGAGACGGGTTTGTCTTCGCAATAACTATCAGTTCGTCGAGGGCGTCGTTTCGTGATAGCCAGCTCGGTTAGATTTTAAGCGGATTTGCCACGTGGTGCTTTAAAAATTTATTAAATACTCTGACCCATTAGGGTTTCTGCTTTTAAGCGTGAAATGCGAAGGGTTTGCCAGACGGCGAAATCGTAAAAATCTTGACACGCGTCTTCTTAGGAAACTGTTGATATTTCTTTCCGATTTTATTTACTTTACCTTTTATCTCTTCATCTTCTTGCTTATTAGAAAATCTTCGTCTCCTTTGCCGATTTCTGCAACAATCTTCTATAGTTTGCTCGTCTTCCCTTCGTTTTTTTTTAAATGTCTGCTTCTTCCTCGCATTCTTCTTTTAATGACGACGAGATTTGTCTCGCTGACCGCACCAAGCAAGCCTGGATTAGTCCAGTCGCTTCTACTTCTTCTATTTCCGAGGGCTCTTCCGATTACCGTGACGAGATTCCATCAGATCATCCCGATGCGGACTCCAAAATAGATTTGGATGGTCCTGGGCCGGCAGATTCTGAATCGGAGAGCACGATCGAGGGTCTTCCGAAGAAAATTGCAATGTCGCCTCATAGGACCGGCACTAAAGACGGAAGGATTTGGATGACCGCGGAGCGGCTTCAAGAACTTTGTTCGAAGTGTGGTTTTCCTGATGAGATCGAACTGTTACTTCCTCAGGTTCACGAGAGAGTGACCACATCCCCAGAGGGTTATTTCTGCTCGTATGAGTGTCATTTCGCGGAGTTCGGCCTTCAGTTCCCGATCTCGCTGCTTCTCCGTTATTACGAACGGAGGAAGATGCCGGTGGCACAGCTTACCCACGCCGTAATCCACCATTTTAATAGCTTGGCGACGGTGGCTCATGCGGCCATGGTTCTCTTTAACTGGGATATTTTCGAGAGGGTGTCCATTTTGAAGAGAGGAAGGGTGAACCGTGGCGGGTGGCGCCATTTTTACACCATGATGAAGGAGGGAATCATAGGTGGTGACCCAACGAGCAAGGTCCACGAGTGGGATCGGTTTTTCTTTTTCGTGAAGATTAACGAAGCATCCATTGGTGGTTCCGATCTTACCCTCTTTAGAACTTGGAGATCGGCACCATGTAAGGAGAATGGAACATTGATTATTTATTTTTGACTTTGTTTGTTGACTCGCTGGGTACTAATGTGTATTTGCCATTATAATAGAAATACGTCTGGGAGATGACCAAATCGGGTTTAGCGAGGATGTCAAGAGGTTGCGCGACCTGAGTCGGCGATTATGGGCCGATAAAGAGAAAAAAAGGGCTGCTAGAAAGAAGGCGGTTAAACCTGCCGAGAAGAAGGCCAAACCCTCGAAAGCAGGTAGGTTGCTAAATTAGAACAATATTGACAGGTGCTCGATTTTATTGACGCATTTATCATTTTAGCTTCGCGAGGGGTCTCGCAACCGAAGCCTGCAGAGGCTGGTCAGAGAAAGAGGAAGGCGACTTCGGCCGATGTCGCAGACGCGCCCGTGAGTGCTTCTGCAAAGAAGAAGAAGACAACTTCCCAGGATCCACCTAGCTTGGTGGATTCAGATGACGCTGAAGTGGCTGCTGAGTCCAAGACTCTGGCGAGGTAAATTTTCTTAGCTTCGCGTGTTATTATATTATGCCTAAGAGATTTCTGACGTCCATTCTGAAGAGAGGAAGGGTGAACCGTGGCGGGTGGCGCCATTTTTACACCATGATGAAGGAGGGAATCATAGGTGGTGACCCAACGAGCAAGGTCCACGAGTGGGATCGGTTTTTCTTTTTCGTGAAGATTAACGAAGCATCCATTGGTGGTTCCGATCTTACCCACTTTAGAACTTGGAGATCGGCACCATGTAAGGAGAATGGAACACTGATTTTTTATTTTTGACTTTGTTTGTTGACTCGCTGGGTACTAATGTGTATTTGCCATTATAATAGAAATACGTCTGGGAGATGACCAAATCGGGTTTAGCGAGGACGTCAAGGGGCTGCGCGACCTGAGTCGGCGATTATGGGCCGATAAAGAGAAGAAAATGGCTGCTAGAAAGAAGGCGGTTAAGCCTGCCGAGAAGAAGGCCAAACCCTCGAAAGCAGGTAGGTTGCTAAATTAGAACAATATTGACAGGTGCTCGATTTTATTGACGCATTTATCATTTTAGCTTCGCGAGGGGTCTGGCAACCGAAGCCTGCAGAGGCTGGTCAGAGAAAGAGGAAGGCGACTTCGGCCGATGTCGCAGACGCGCCCGTGAGTGCTTCTGCAAAGAAGAAGAAGACGACTTCCCAGGATCCACCTAGCTTGGTGGATTCAGATGACGCTGAAGTGGCTGCTGAGTCGAAGACTCTGGCGAGGTAATTTTCTTAGCTTCGCGTGTTATTATATTATGCCGAAGAGATTTCTGACGCCCCCCCCCCCCCCCCCCCCCCCCCCCCTTCACTTTTTATTTTTAAAGTTTCTCTAGGGCGGCAGCGTTGGAGAGATTGAGGCGGATGCGGGCTGATAAAGCCGCAAAGGATTCGCAGGGTGAGGCATCCCATACTCCCACCTCTCAAGTCGCGGATGGAGAGGGTGCTTTGGATGCTGCCGGGAGCCATCGCGAGGTCGTTTCTCTCTCAGTCGATGCTCCATCGCCTCCTCATGTCGACGTTCGTTCACCGCCTCTGACAGGTGTGTCTCAAAGCCCTGAGACATATGTCACAGAAGATGTAGGTCGGGAGAGGACCAAGGAGCCCGGCGCAACTTATTCTGAAGGGCCGACCCCTCCCGAGGTTGCTCCGGGCACGGAAGATGCTGGTCCTAGCGCTCCTGAGGAGGCTGCTCCTTCTCAAAAGGACGCTGGCACAGAAGGCGCCAATTCAAGCGCTCCGGCCGAACCTAAGCAGGAGGAGGAGTTTTTAATTATAATCCTCATCATCTTTGCGTGAGATGGGACGGGAATACTCCAGCGATGCTTACTCGCGAGTTTGCCGCGGACTTGATCTGGAAGTACAGGGAGAAGCCGCGATGGGGTAAGCCACTTCGCGAGTTGAAGCTGATGAATTCGATCTCCTCGGCGAGTCAATTGATAGCTCGGGTAATTTTATTTATTCGATGATGGTGCTATCCATCTTCTTCTTTTCTTTTTGGTGCGTTTCTGATAGTATGTTGTAATACAGGGTCTGGGAAAATATATGTCCGCGTTTGCTGCGTACGACGATAAATGGCGCGAGGAGGAAGCGATGGTGAACGCTGCATGTTCTGAGATCAAGGAGCTTAAAAAGGTGGAGGAAGAGAATCGGCTTCTCAAGCAGCGGTGTGCTCAAC